AGCGCCTGACACGTCCTCCAGAACCCCGCCGTATCTCAGAGATCCCCGACTTATCCCTGTCCGATCGTGTCCCTGTCCTGGCTTCGTCTTAGCATGAGTGGGTCGGCAACCTGACCGTGGCTGGAAAAGAAACGCATGGCCACCTCAGGCCTCTGCGATCCTCCGACCCCGCCTGCTCGGACCCAATTTGGGGAGGCCTCCAGGGCAGGACAGGGATCTTGGTATCGCTCGGACGAGTGCATTTTTTCTCGGCGAGAACCATCGACGACCATCCTGGACCATCGAGCAAACAACACGCACGCACGAAACCGAAAAATGCACGGGAAATGGACGTCCGAGCGACGGCAAGGGATCGGTCGTTCCAGTGGACCGCTCCGAGGGAACGCTGGAAGCCACGAGCGAGTCACCACGCTCGGCCTCTGCGGGCCCTCGGCGGGGCCCCCGGGCCGTCCACGAGCAGCGGCCCGGGACGACAACCGGCGGCCCCTTCCGGGGGGAGAGGGTGCCAGGACGTGCGGGGGTCCCGCACGGATCAAGGCATCGGGTCGGTCGATCGGGTCTCGAGGCTCGAGGCTCGAGGCTCGAGGCTCGAGGCTCGAGGCTCGAGGCTGGAGCACGATCGAGTCTCGAGGTTCGAGGCTGGAGCACGATCGACGATCGACGATCAGCGCACGGAAGCAGTCGCATCGCCGCGCGGCGCCAGCGTGGCGAAGGGGCGAAGGGGCCCTCGCGAAGGGGCTGCGCGGAGGAGGGGCCCCCGGCGGAGGGGCGTCTCCGTCGGTCCCAGGCGGCCTTATCTAGGCCTCCCTCCCAGATGGGGTCGGAGTGGGCGGGGTCGGAGGATCGTGCCGCATCGCCGATGCATCGGCGATGCATCGGCGGTGCGGCTCGACGTGCGGCACAGTTTTCACCACGCCGACGTCGCCGATGCCTCGCCGACGTCGCCAGTGCACGGCCGATGCGGCGAGATCCTTCGAACCCGCCTGCTCGGACCCCAGCCAGGAGGCCTCCACTGACTTCCAGCCCCGGGGTGCCTCCAGCAGCTCGCGCCACGCAGAGGGCGCTCCGACGGGTGCTCGGCTCGCCCCCCGGCGTGGGCCCCCGAGTGGCCCCACTCGCGCTGGGGCCCGAGTGGCCCCGTCAAGCCGACCCGAGTTCCCCCTGAGCCAAGTCATGCGTCTCCCGGACAGTGGCCCAGGCAGAGACCCTGGACCAGCTGGCCTTGGTACGTACCAGGCTGTGTAGGGAGGAGGGTGAGGTCCGCACCTTCTGGTGCAGAGGGCTCAGATTCGCTCCTCGGTGGAGCAGTGTCTGGGTCGTGCTGGCAGGTTCCTCACTGTCCGTGCTAGAGCTGTGGAGGTGAAGCCGTCGATGGCAATAAAAATGTAAGCTCCCCTCCCCTCTGAGACTCGCCTCCTCCTCCACCGCGCCCCGACTTCTCGCCCATGCCGAGCTTGCTTGCTCCCCCCTGGCGCTCCAGGAATCACACGACTTTCCACGCCAACCTGTCCAGCACCTACAGCGCCGTGGCGTCTGCGGACCACCCCCGCCTCCGGCTCGCCGCGGGGCAGAGGGCCGTGCCCGCGCGTCAGTGATTTGGCGATGCTCTTGTGGTCGGTGTCACCCCGACATGCTCATACTATTTGTGCGTCGCCCCCCCGGGGGGCCGACGCGCTCGCGCGCCGAGAAGTCTTGCAGCAGAAGCTCTGTGGCGGGCGCTTCCTGGCTATACCGCTCGGGAAACGATGCACCGCAATCTTGCCACACTGAATGTTCGGCTCGATCGCACGCCTCCGATGAGGACGCACAGCACTGTTATGTCCTTGTGCGTCCCGCATCGGAGGAAGGGGAAGAAGGGTCCGTGCACAGCTTCCCCCTGGAAGGCCTGCGCGGGCCTCGAGCTCGCAGAAACCCGACGCAGCCCTGGCCGAGGTCTGGAGGCCCAAAAGTCGGCCATCTTCTTGAGGTTTTGGCTTGACCGTTATGAGCGGATGGCTGTGGTGTAGGAGGAGGAGGAGGAGGAGGAGGAGGAGGAGGAGGAGGAGGAGGAGGAGGAGGAGGAGGAGGAGGAGGAGGAGAGGAAGGAGGAGGAGGAGGAGGAGGAGGAGGAGGGAGGAGGAGGAGGGGGGAGGGGGGGAGGGGGAGGGGAGGGGGAGGAGGAGGAGGAGGAGGAGGAGGAGGAGGAGGAGGAGGAGGAGGAGGAGGAGGAGGAGGAGGAGGAGGAGGAGGAGGAGGAGAGGAGGAGGAGGAGGAGGAGGAGAGGAGGAGGAGGAGGAGGAGGAGGGAGGGGGAGGGGGAGGGGGAGGGGGAGGGGGAGGGAGAGGGGAGGCGGAGGAGGAGGAGGAGGAGGAGGAGGAGGAGGAGGAGGAGGAGGAGGAATACGACTAATAATAAGAATACGAAGAATAATAAGACAACTAGTAATAAGACTTACACTACTCATAATACGAATACTATTAAGACTCATAAGACGACGACTACTAACACTAGTAGTACGAATAATAACGATACGACAACTAATCAGACGACGGAACATAACAATAAAACCATACTAATAGTAATATCAATGAACAACCACTAATACTAATAACAGTTAGAAGAATAACCGTAATCGTAATACTACTACTGATAAGAAGTCTAATACGAAGAAAACTAAGAGTAAGAATAGTAATATGAACAAGAAGAGGCGGGGGAGGAGGAGGAGGAGGAGGGGGAGGAGGAAGCGGCGGAGGCGGAGGCGGAGGCGGAGGCGGAGGCGGAGGACGAGGAGGAGGAGGAGGAGGAAGAGTAGGTCGAGGACGAGGAGGAGGAGGAGGAGGACGAGGAGGAGAAGGAGGTAACGGTGGATGGAGGGACACCGCCCAAGTTGCCCGAACGCGAGTTACCGATTCAATGGCAGACGCAACCAGTCTCGCGGAAGTCGGGCCCACATTCGGGCAGGATGAGGAGCAGGGGTTGGGATGTGGAGGAGGAGGAGAAGGAGGAGGAGGACGAGGAGGAGGAGGATGAGGAAGAGGGTGGAGGAGGAGGAGGAGGAGGAGGAGCAGGAGGGAGGAGGAGGAGGAGAGTGAGGAGGAGGAGGAGGAGGAGGAGGAGGAGGACGAGGACGAGGACGAAGACGAGGACGAGGAGGAGGATGAGGAGGAGGAGGAGGAGGAGGAGGTAACGGTGGATGGAGGGACACCGTCCAAGTTGCCCGAATGCGAGCTACCGATTCAATGGCAGACGCAACCAGTCTCGCGGAAGTCGGGCCCACATTCGGGCAGGGTGAGGAGGAGGGGATGGGAGGTGGAGGAGGAGGAGGAGGAGGAGGAAGTGGAGTAATATAATAATAAGACGAAGACGAAGAGGAGCAACCTGAATCGTAGTATTAGTACTAATAAATTCAATCATACCCTAATGACAACAAGACTACGATTACTATTACCACACCGACTAATACTGTTAAGAAGAAGCATACTACTACGAATGCGCATACTAGTAGTAATAATGATATTGCGAATGCCACTGCTATTGCTACTCTTAGTAATACCCATCGTACTAAGTAGACGACTAGAAGACGGATCATACTATTAATGACATAAGAAGAATATTACCAAGACGACCAATACGAACCATATTAGCACGAATGATGATACTACGAGCAATGACAACACTTATACGAACACGCATTAGCAGACTCATATTGCTAAGAAGAAGAATAATACGATTAATACTGATACTAATGCCTATTAATAAGAAGACGACGAAGAAGAGGCGGAGGAGGAGGAGGAGGAGCAGGAGATGGAGACGGACAGAGGAGGAGGAGGAGGAGGAGGAGGAGGAGGAGGAGGAGGAGGAGGAGGAGGAGGAGGGACGATGACGAAGACCAGGCGGACGACGACGAGGACGGCGACGAGGAGGACGACGACGAGGACGACGACGACGAGGAGCAGGAGGAGGAGGAGGAGGAGGAGGAGGAGGAGGAGGAGGAGGAGGAGGAGGAGGAGGGGGAGGACGACGACGTCGACGGCGAGTGTGCTCCTCCCCTCCTCCCCTCCCCGCGCTTGAGGAGGGGCCGCCCCTGGACCGCGCCGCGGCGGCCGCGGCGGCCGCGCGCGGGAGGCCCCGCCCGCCCAGCTGGCACCGGCCCGCCCGCGGCGAGGGGCTGCGGGGCGGGCGGGTACGGGAGGAGGGGGAACATGCCAAGGGAGATCGCCTCCTCCTCCTCCTCCCATCCCCTCCTCCTCACCCTGCCCGAATGTGGGCCCGACTTTCGCGAGACTGATTGCGTCTGCCATTGAATCGGTAGCTCGCGTTCGGGCAACTTGGACGGTGTCCCTCCATCCACCGTTACCTCCTCCTCCTCCTCCTCCTCATCCTCCTCCTCTCCTCCCCCTCCTCCTCCTCCTCCCTCCTCCTCCTCCTCCTCCTCCTCCTCCTCCTCCTCCTCCTCCTCCCCGGCGGCTCCCTGGCACCTCTCGGGGCACCCTTGGGAGCCTCGGGGGCCATCTTGGGGCAGTCTTGGAGGAGGTCGATCGAAGGAGGGGCCGTAGTACATCAGGGTCCTCCCCAGGAGGCCAATCTCTGGCCAACACCATTCTGTACAATCAGTGAGTGTGTTCTTCTCGCCGAGGCCTCTTGGGGCGCTTGGCTGCCTCTGTGGGCCTCTTGGGGCCCCTTGGGGGTCTCTTGTGAGCCTCGTGGGGACCTCTTGGGGGCCTCTTGGGGCTTCCTGGGCACCTCTTTGGGGGGCACACCTGGGTGCCTCGGTGGCCATCTTGGGGCCGTCTTTGGGGGCCTCTTGGCGCCTCCTGGGCGCATCTTGGACTCTTGGGGCGCCCCTGGGAGCCTCGGGGGCCATGCTGGGGCCATCCTTGAGGAGATCGATGAAAAGAATGGGCCGTACTCAGTTAGCGGCGCCCCCCCCCGGAGGCCAAGATGTGGCCAGAGCCCTGCGGCTTTCTCGCCGAGGCCGGAGCAAGACCCTCCGACATCTCGCCGAACGCCCTCTCCAGACCCAGTGGCAGGGGGTAGGGGGCGGGGTCAAGATACTCTCCCCGCCCGCAGGCTGTCTCGCTCACTCCCACCCGCCCTCCCAACACAGAAGTAGCACCAGGTCCTCAGCATGTTCAGCGGTCGTCTATGGACGGGCAGCTACTGGGAACCAATCTAGACCCCCTGTGCGCGATGGGGCGAGATGCGCCACGCGTGCCAGGCGCTCCGGGTGCGCCAGGCACCCCTGGGGCTCAAGCGTGCCAAGCACGCCTCGTGCGCCAAATGCGCCACGTGTTCCACGTGCGCCATCTGTGCCGCCAGGTCCAGCCGCGCTATGCGCTATGTCTGGGGCGCTCGCAGAGTGTGCCAGGTGCGCCCGCGCACGCGACAGCACACATGGATGGGAACCATGTCGGCCCCCACCATCCTTGTCGAAGCGCACAATCGCGGCGGGGATGTCATCATGGTGTTTGGTGGGCCTGCCCCCGTGGTCCTTGTCAAACGCCAATGGACAGTGATCGTGGGGTGGCCGCACAGGATCCATACTGAGCCGCGAAGTGCATGTTGTATTGTTCCCCACATGCTGAGTGGGGTTTTGGTTTTCTTTCCCAACCGCGTCGCACCCGCCACCTTCACCGCCTCCTCCCCCTTTGCATGTCCTTGCCAGTCTCACCGAATTGGACACACGCACGCACGCACGCACACACACATACACACACCACACCACACAACACACCACACACAACACACAACACTCACAACCCAACAAACACAACCCAAGCAACACAACCCAACCCAACCCAACACAACACAATACATTACACCACACCACAACACACAACACAACACAAAACAAATCAACACAACACACCACAACACATCCGAACACAACGCAACACGACGCGACACGACACACCACAACACAGCACAACACAACACAGCACAGCACACAACACAGCACAACACACCACACCACAACCCAACCGATTCGAACCCAACCCAACCCCACGCAACACATCCCAAAACAACACACCACAACACAACACAACACAGCACAACACAGCACAACACAACGCAACACGACACGACACAACACAACACAACACAACGCAACACACCACACCACACCACAACACAACACAACACCACACACCACACAACACAACACAACACACCACACCACACTTCACCACACCGCACCACAACACAACGCAACCAGCACAGCACAGCACAGAACAGAGCACAGCACAGCACAATACAACACAACACAGCACAACACAGCACACCACACCACACCATACCACACCACAGCACACCACACTTCACCACACCGCACAACCACACCACACCACACCACACAACACAACACAACACAACACAACACAACACAACTCAACACAACACAACACACCGCACCACCCGACACCACACCACAACACAACACACCACACCACACCACACCACAACACACCACAACACACAACACAACACAACACAACACAACACAACACACCAACACAACACAACACAACACAACACAACACAACACAACACAACACAACACAACACAACACAGCATAGCACAGCACAACACTACACAACACAATACAACACAACACAGCACAACACAACACAACACACAGCACAGCACAGCACAGCACAACACATCACAACACACAACACAACACAACACAACACAGCACAGCACGCAACACGCACAACACGCACAACACACAACAGACACACACACACACATCACACACAACACACACACACACAGCACACACAACACAATATTCGAAAGAGCGTGTTCTACCGCTGCTGGCGGAAAACCGAGGGGGGGGCACTACCGGTTCGAACCCCTCCCCCCCCCCTCTGGAAAACCGGGGGGGGTCACTACCGGTTCGAACCCCTCCCCCCCCCCAGTTCATCATGAAAAGGGGGGGGGTCACTACGGTTTCGAACCCCTCCCCCCCTCGAAAACCGGGGGGGGTCACTACCGGTTCGAACCCCCTCCCCCTCTCGAAAACCGGGGGGTGGTGCGGACAGTGGTGGGGACGGTGGTGGTGGTGACAGTGGTGGGAACAGTGGTGGGGACAGTGGGGAACAGTGGTGACAGTGGGGACAATGGGACAGTGGTGGGGACAATGGTGGGAACAGTGGGGACAGTGGGACAGTGGTGGGGACGGTGGTGGTGGGGACAGTGGTGTGGGGACAGTGGGAATGTGGTGGAAACAGTGGGACAGTGGAGGGTACAGTGGTGGTGGGGACAGTGGTGAAGGCGGTGGCGAGGACGGCGGTGGGACAATGGGACAGAGGTACAGTGGGGACAGTGGTGGGGACAGTGGGGACAGTGGTGGGAACAGTGGGACAGCTCAGTGGGACAGCGGAGGAGTCAGTGGGACAGTGGGGACAGTGGGGATAGTCGGGCAGTGGTTGGGGCCGTGGAGAAAGTGGGGAGAGTGGAACCGTGGTGGGAACAGTGGTGGGGACAGTGGGGACAGTGCGACAGTGGTGGGGGCACTGGTGGGGACAGTAGGGACGGTGGTGGAACCAGTGGGGACAGTGGTGGTGAGGACAGTGGTGCTGGGAACAACAGTGGGGGATGTGGTGCGGACGGTGGTAGGGACCGGGAGTCGTTTGGGAGGGGTTCGAACCGGTAGTGACCCCCCTCCAGTTTTCGATGGGGGGGGGTTCGAACCAGTAGTGACCCACTTCGGTTTTCGAAGGGGGGGGGGGGGGTTGGGGGAGGGGGGGTTTTGCCGGGGGAGGGGGGGGGGTCCAGCAGGGGGGGGGATTTTCGGAGGGGGGGGGACCTCCGGGTTCCGGAGTAAGAGGGGGGGGAATTTCCATAGTAAAGCGGCGGTGGATCACGTTCTCTCCAATATTCACACAACACACAGCACACAACACACAACACACAACACACATCCAAACACCATGCAACGCTATTGCCCGCCCGGCGTCTTCACTGCATCATCCACCCAATACGTATGCGCCACACTGAGCACCCACGTGGGGCACACGTCCACATATAGCCTGACGCACATCGTACAAATACAGATGACACGCCGACGCAGACCTGGTCACTCGCGTGCAGTCATAGGGGGTGGTTCCTCAGTGCTGTCTCTATGCGTGCCAGGCTCGCACAGAGTGGCAGGCGTGCCATTTCCTCGACACCGGATGGGGTGCGCTGGGGGTGGTCCAGCTATCAATTTCGAGCTCGCAAAGCGTGGCAGGCGTGGCACGTCCTCGACATCACAAGAGGATGCGCTGGGGGTGGTCCCGCTCTCCGCTTCGGGCTCGCAAAGCGTGGCAGGCGTGGCACGTCCTCGATCTCGCAGGGGGTGCGCTGGGGGTGATCTATCCGTTTCGGGCTCGCAAAGCGTGGCAATCGCGGCAGTCCCTCGACACCACAGGGGGTGCGCAGGGGGTGGTCCCGCTATCCGTTTTAGCGTGCGCAAAGCATGGCAGGCGTGGCATTTCCTCGACACCGCGGGGTGCGCGCGGGGTGGTCCCCCATATCCGTTGTGAGCTCGCAAAGTGGCAGGCGTGGCATGTCCTCGTTTCTGTTCGCACAGCGTGTCATGCTCCCAAGGCTTGACAGGCGTCATCAGCGGTAGCGGCGGGGCAACGGCCACCATCAACATTCAGCTACCATCACGCATGACCTATTCTGAGTATGGGGGTTTCCTCTGTAGCGTGATTTTTGACAGGGATGGTGGCCTTGCGCGAGTCATGCGATATGAGGTCCCCCCCGCCGTCCCCGTCAAAAGGTTCTCCCGGCGAAGAACCCATCCACATGCAGTTGTGAACATATCCGTTGTGAGAATTCCCTTCGGTGGAACTTCCCATGGGCGCGAAGCGCGCGAAGGGTGCGCTGTAATGGGGCGGAGCCGCCATGCGGGCGCTGCCGTTGTGGCCTTCGGTGGAGCTCCCTACGGGGCCACGAGCCGTGCGATGCGTGTGCTAGCATGGAGAGGGGGGGCGGCATGCGAACCTTACCACTGGACCCTTCGGTGGAGCTCCCCGTGGGGCCACGAAGCGTGTGAGGACTGTGCCGACATGGGCGCTGGACGCATGTGCACGCAGCCACAGGGGCCTTCGGTGGAGCTCCTTATGGGGTCACAGAGCGTGTGAGGGGTGTGCCAACGTGAGGGGGGTGAGGGAATGCCGAACCGGTCGACATGAGGACAGAAGCAAGGGTGGGAGGATGGAGGAGCGGGACGAGGAGGAACGGAGAGGAGAGTAGGAGATGGGGATTGCTTTTTCAAAACGAGGACAAGCCATATCCTGGCGAAGGGCCCAACCACATGCATTTGTTTGTGAGTATCGCCGTTGTGGGTACCGCCTTCGGTGGATCGCTTTATGGGGCCACGAGGCGTGTAAAGGATGTGGCGAAATGTGGCGGGGACGCATGCGGGCGCTGCCACCGGTGGAGCTCCCTATGGTGCCACGAGGCGCTGCAGTCGGGGGGGCAATGCACGCGGGCGCAGCCAGTGGGGCCTCCGGAGGATCTCCCTATGGGGCCGCGAAGCGCTGTACTGGGTGGGGGGAACGCAGGCGAACATCGCCATTGGGGCGTTCGGTGGAGCTCCCTACGGGGCCATGAAGCACTGCCCTGGGTGGGTGTAACGCATGCGAACACTGCCAGTGGGACCTTCGCCGGAGCTCCCCCTGGGGCCACGAAGTGCTGTACTCGGTGGTGGGAACGCACGTGAACACCGCCACTGGGGCCCTCGGCTGATCTCCCTAGGACCACGGAGCGTTGTACTGACTGGGGGGAACGCATGCGAACACCCCCACTGAGGCTTAGGGTGAAGCGTCCCATGGGAACATGAAGCGCTGTATTGGGTGGTGGAACCGCATGCTAATCATGCCACTGGGACCTTTGGTGGAGCTCCTTATGGGGCCACGAAGCGTGTGAGGGGTGTGCCAACATGAAGGTGTGCCAACATGAAGGCGAGCTGAACAAGTCATATCCGACGAAGGCATCTATACACCACCACCGTGCCAGGCCAGG